CAGTAATAGCGAGACCTCAGAATGGCGGTGGATGACATTTTCAGGATTTTTAATTTATCTCACAATAAGAAAAATCAGTGCCTTTAGCCAAACGCCACTTTAGCGCTTGTCTACAGAGAGAGAAACGAAATGTATGGGGATGACACTGACAAATGTCAAAATTTACGTCAATGCCATAAAATTTGGTTTTCTACTCTACATGTAGACAAGCGCTAAATTGCATTTGCTACAGCTGCTGTTTTTTTTTTCTCTGTAATTAACACGTTAAACGCCACGGGGGTCACCGGTGACCGACCGACGTTAGCGGAGGATTTACCTTCAACAGTCTTTTATTGGCAGTCAAAGTCTTAATATGTTTTCGGCTTACTCACGTAATTGTTTGAGGAGGAACTCGACTAGTTTCAAGCAAGGCACGCTGCTCTTATTCATGATGTTGCTCGTCAAACAGTTATATGATAAAAACAAATTGTAAATAACTCACTGACTTTGTTTCTAGTCTGATTCTAGTTTAAAGAAGCCTTTGGTTTAGACAGTTTTAGTTATACCTTCGTTAATATGAACATAGACATTACGATTTCAATCCCATGGCGATGTAGCAATATAGTATTTTAATTTTATCCCCAACTCACTAAAGATTTGTCCACTACATTTGAGAAAAAATATGTTTTTATAATAACTATCGTGAGACATACTAAATTAAATAAAAATCGCGGGTTACTCAAGTGAACATACTGAGAAAACGTTAACATACTATGTAGTTCGAAACTAGTAGAGCTTTTCTCAGTGTGTCTACGTGAACTATACGCGATTTTTAGTTAAAAAGAAATTGTTTCATTTAAGTACATCCCTCATCATAGATCTGCCTACTCTCCATTAAACAAAAAAGCGTAACGCTCCGTATGACTCACATGTCAACAATTCCTACGAAGTAACGCTAGCTCACCATTTTTTTTATAAAAAAAATAACAGGTCGATAAATACATCGTCTTCGAGTTGGTACGTTCTGTATTTTTAACTTTTTATAAACAATCTATTGGTAACCTAGAAATTGGACGCCAATTTAAGACAGTTGGCAATGGTTGAATCTCTGTACGATAAATATTATTTTTAGTGATTAAAATCTCTGTGGTGTAAGTTTTTGGAGAATCAAACTGAATTATCTTATTGAGTAACTAATATTATAATGAGTGAATATTGGGTTGTTTGTTCCTTTTTGCGGTCTGATTTGAAAGAATACTATTCTTTAAGCTATTTTTTATCCTAACATACTTGGAATTTATTAGAGAGAAATATTTTAAATACTACACGATTAAAGCTAGTTAAATATGTGATAATTTGTATATTTTACTAACACGACGACCACAGAAAAAAAAGCACCAAATAAAAAAATACAAAAAAAAACGCAGCACCTCACTAAAAAATAAACTTTTAACAAAAAAAAAACAAAAAAAATACAACCGAAAAAAAAAATATTCATTCGAATTTCGAATCATTTTGATCGTGGAGCGCGGCAGACGACACTCCAACGAAGTGGAGTTTCAATCTAGCTATGTACCAGCGACCAGTTTTGTTTGAACCCCGCGATGATACCAGTCGCGGTAAAGCAAGGATCAAGATGGGTTGGGCGCAGCGGTACCGATGTTATACTTAGGTACGTAAGTACGGGGTGGGCGAGTACAGATAGAAAATGTGGTTTTGATTTCTTAAATTAAATATTATGATTTTTGTTTTTTTTTAAATACATTTAAACCTAAAGATTATTTAATGCTAAACCGATTTTGACGTAAATTGTGTGTCATTTTATTAAAGACATTTTAGTAATCATTTTTTTATAGGAGGAGGCAACCGGGCAGACAGATCGTGATCAACACCACAAGAATCACAGGAGCTTCAAGTGCGTTGGCGGTTTTTAAAAAGAAGTACGTTCGTTTTTGTGCCTTCGTGACAATATTTAAGACTCAAAATAAAATAGAAAATCGTCTACAGTTTGCAAAATGGTTAGGCAACGCAATGGCGATGCCTCTGGTGTTACAGACAGTCTAGTTATTCAGTACGCAAGTAAGAAAATGAAGATTGACTCAGTACAGAGACGGTAACTAATTATTTCCTAAAATATTCATAAAAAAACCAAAAACAACGAAAACATGTAATAAAAATTACAAACATAAACAATAACACAAGAAAACTACCGATCAACAACGAAGACGACACCAAATTCCATAACAAAAAAATAATAATATTTAATTAATTAAAACATATTATACTATCTGTACCTCAATATAAGTACACGCTACATTCACCTACATTTATTCGAACGCACACAGACACAGTTTTATGGCTCGAGTCGAGTCGCACACACACATACACGGACACACCGACACGAGTACACGGCGAGGGCAACACACACACACAAAGACCATTTATTTTATTCTTATGAAGAAGGTATTTTTTGTGATTTTTATAATATAGGTAGTATGTATTGATAAAAATATGGATAGGCTAAACTTAATGACTTATTCCGTGAATGGGGTAGACAGAGTAGTACAATTATTGCGAATAAATTACACAACATTATGTTAAAAACTATGTGCGCTGAGATTTTTAATTTAAGCACAAACTAAGCCGAGAACAGAGACTGATACATCTATTGCAGTTAGAATATGACCAAACGACCACTGTAAGACATTCATGCCAGAAAATGTAGATTCTTAAAATGCTCGACTAAGGTATGGAACCGGAGTTCTTTTGCGCCCACTAAACTTAGAAGCCCTATTTTGATGGCAGAACAGATTATTTTTTCTTATGGATTAGGAGGCAAACGAGCAGACGGATCACTTGATGGTAAGCGATCACCGCCGCCCATGGACACCCGCAACACCAGAGGAATCACAGGTGCGTTGCCGACCTTTCAAAAAAGAATACGCTCTTTTCTTAAAGGTTTAAAGGTCGCAGGAAATACCGCCGACGACAGATCATTCCACAGTTTTGCTGTGCGAGGCAGAAAGCGCACAGTTGTGGCCTGCCAACCATCTATGTATATGATGGGGATGCATATGTTGTCGTTAGGGGCGATGGTGAAAAGATGCGGCGGGTATCAGGTCAAACAATTCCTCAGAGCACATTTACAATTGACTATATTCGAGTGGGTACCATAATATCCGGCTAAGAACTACACATTTGACAGAGCCCGGGCAGCAGCGCTCTCTGATAAACCTGAACCTTTTATACTGCGATATCCAGCTGGCCTGGCACGCATACCGATTATGGAAATACCTTATATGTAGAAGGGCCTCTTAGTCTGGCAGTGGCCTGTCAAGGTCCTAGCTCCTTCCTACTAATCCCTGAAGGGGGACAGTAATAAATATAACACCCACTTTTCACCAGTTACATTATGACTCCCATGTAATGGGGGGTGAGCCTATTGCCAATCACTGCATATTCCACACACATAACATGACGCCTTTTATTCCCGACGGGGTAAGCAGAGGTGCACATTACGGCGCATAATGCCACTGTACAATGTAACACCTACTTTTTACCATTTATGTTATGAGTCCCATGTAATAGGGCGTGAGCCTATTGCCATATACCGGGCACAATTCCAGACTCCGTGCTAGAACTGAGATTTTTTTTTTAAATCCCAGTTAACTTTGCCCGACCTGGGAGTCGAACAATCGCACCTTTCGGCCAACGGGGCAGCAGTGTGCATATTCCATATAAATACTAACTGCTGAGAATAGGAATGATGACGGGATATGAAAATTAAAAAACCGGCAAAAAGTATTGCATTACCTATTTAAAAAATATGGGACATTTATATTTTGTCGTATAAGAAAACAATTCTTAGATATAACGAAACAAAGTTTAGGAGTGGGAGCTAAAACGTCATTCCTACGTATAAAACAAAATAAAACCGTACATAGAAGTGACGTCACGCGAATTAAATCAATTTATCGTCGAAAGTATTTGTTTCTGCAAGAAAATAAAAAATACGTGTCTAATGTTTTAAAATAATCTACCAGACGGGCATTAAAATACAAATTAAGTCATCTACCCTGTCATAGAATGAGAAACCCCTATCCCTAATTATGTTTCAACTCCCATGCTCCACCACTGGACAAAAACTAAATAACTATTAACGTACATTATAACAATTTAAACAGCAAAATCAAATCACCAGACCACGCAATCTTTTTGCGTAAGATCGGAAAGTATCGAGCACCGTTTATGTATGAACTTTGTGCTACTGATAAGACGCCTGATAACAGATACAGACTGCTCCTAGACTTTACGGCCCGTGGCCTATTGTTTTAAAAATTGTTTCACGTCATAAAATATACGTTTAAGTTATTATGGGATTTTTTTAAGGGGGGAAAATCATTGAGTGACTGCTCCCGCCTGGGTGAGGCGAGAGGGAGTGTCAGACTCTTACTGACTAAAAACCACCCCGTTTCTTCTCCTGCACGTCGAGCCGGAGCCCCGGTTACCCGTTAGGTTCTCCGCGACTCCGAATCATGTTATTATGGGATACGGGGCAGATGGATCACCTGATGGTTAGCAATCAGTGCTGCCCTTGGACACTCACAATACTAGGAGTTACAAGTGCGTTGCCTACCTTTCAAGGAGTACCTATGCTCTTTTGTTGAAGGTTCGGAAATGTCGCTGGCGAGTCTGGCGACAGACAAGCATACTCTTACGCCTTCGATCCATGGTGGTTGCTAGACCATTGAGCGCCTACGACTCTTACAAACTTCTTTAGCTTCCATCATTCAAGCATCTGGTCCAACGAGTACTAGCCATTGATAATAAAGTGGTCTTCTCTCAGTCCACTGGCAGTTAGGTTAATTTGTGGGTTTTAAAGTTATTTCTCAATATTGATAAATTTGATAAAGAAAACCCTTATTGTTTAATAACTCAATGAAACATTAGTCTTTAAAATACATTACGATGGCGACAACTTAAGATCTAGTTTAAAATTAGTACGGATAAGATGAACTGACCTGTCAACAGGCGGCGGCAAGGGTGCCATCATATGCGGGTGTGGCGGCATAGGCGGATGTGGGGGGTGCGGGTGGAAGGGAGAGCCCGGGGGCGCAAACCCCGGCCCTGGGAAGTGTGGCTGTTGCGGGGGCCCCGGTGGAAACCCGCCGCCGGAGCCCGGCCGCGCTGAGGGCGAGCCGAAGGGGCCGGGCGCCGCGTACGGCGGGCCCGCAAACCCCGGGCCGGGCGTCGATGGAGCCGGCGAGGCGGCGAACGCCGGCCCGGCCGGGGAGCCGGCTGGCGGCGCGAACGACGCGAATGGCGGCTCGCTGTTGCCGCTCTTCCACGCCGCTGGCACGCCGCCGCCGGTCTCGTCCAGCGCCGGCACGCGCCGCTGCAGCCCCACCGACATCTGAGTACCAGGACAACATGTTACCTATGGAGGTCGCACGGTTCATTGTTATTCTAGAGCTAGAAAAAAGACAATAAAATAGGTAGACACAAAGATACAACTTTGTCAATTCAATATAGATAGGTTTTGCAGGCGGCCGCTGCCGCAACTTTAGCAGGAATGTCCTACTCCTATGGAGGGAATGCTTGTTTATATTTGTAATTTAGTTATTTACGACAATCAGGACCCAAAAATAAGGTTGACTGTTTGAGAATGCCACTAGGCATTAAGTTCGCCATTGTATTGTGTGCAAGAAGTGTAAATAAATTAAAATAAATTAGTATTGTGATCTACATTTGTCGATTTAGGCATTACGATTGATAAAAATATAATTCACGTTTGTAACTATTTCGAGGAGCGAGCTCGACTGCTTTCGAGGCACGATAGGGGTTCATAGACAAGTCACCGGTGACGGCGCACCAGACGTTGCGTAGTCAATATATCTAATTAAACATACACGATAGTTAGTTATTAGACAAGTTTAACAGAGAACGCTGCTGCCCGGCCTCTGTCAAATGTATTGTCCCTTAGTTCACTCTTACGATAGCCGTAAGACGAGCACCTTTCCAGAAGCAGTGACTAATGTAATTAATCATACTAGAAAAGTACCATTTTCAAAAAAATCTCAGATATTTTTTTTTTTCGTAAACTTCGCACATTACTGACAAGGCGATACAATCGTCGGCTCATGTTGGAGTTTAATGAACTATTTCTATACAATCGTTACACAACTTGTGTGCAGCGGCGTACGCGCAGCTTACGTCATATACTCAGTAAATTGTATATTATTGCTAAATATAGAAAGTCTACGGTCTAATAAATTGTATTATTTTTCTATTTTTATTTTATGATATCAGGACATAACAAACGGGGCCCGCTAGGGTCCAATGCTTGGCGGGGTTGTAGGCAAGGCTAGCCTTCAAGCACAATACAAACACTAACACAATAAGCAGGAGTTAGAACGGGGAGGTTTTTGTCAGTATTAGTAGCATTCGTCCAGCCTCACAACAGCCGCAGACGACTTAACGGGTTAATGGAGCTCCAGCCCGAAACAGAAGTAGGAACGGGGTGGTGTTTAGTCCGTAAGAGTCTCACATTAACTCGCCTTACCCAAGGTGGGAGAAGTCATTGGATGATCCCCCTCAAAAAAGCTTCACAATGGAAAAATTCGATAACATTTAGTCGACTGACTCCTTATTCGGTAGTCCTACTTGCAATTAGGTATCCGATTTGGTCAATTTGAAGCGCCTGAACTTGTATTTTTGTTAGATATATGTGTCAACTTGTATTTATTTTTTACTTCTAAAAAAAGTTGCCCCAAACTAGGATTTTCTCATATGTCATGGGTGCGTTTACAAACATACACATGACACCCAGACCCGGAACAACAATCTGTGGATCACACAAAGAGTTGTTCCGTGCGGGAGTCGAATCCGCGACACGTTGCTCGGCAGCCATTTTCCCAGCCACCGCGCCAACCGTGCAGTCAGATTTATAGTAATTTTGTACAAATAATTGTTGACTTACGACCGAAATAAACAACCGATCCTTTTTAAAGTATCTGGATCGTTCTATGAACAGCTGGATCTTAATTCAAATGTGACATTGACTTTTCTCCAGTATATTATGAGTCCCATGAAAATATGTCATCATCATCATCAACAGCCTATAAGTGCCCACTGCTGAGCAAAGTCTCTTCTCACACGAACAAGGTTTGAGCATTAATCACCACGCTTGCTCAATGCCGGTTGGCGATTACAAACTTATAATTAGAAATAATAAACCCAGGTTTCCTCACGATGTTTTCCTTCACCGTTTGTCAGTGGTGTCTAAATAATTTTAGAAAGTACATATAACTCGGAAAAGTCACATTGGTACTTGCCGTTGCTAGGTTTCCAACCCGCACCCTCATGCATGAGAAGCGGGCGTCTTAAACCTCCGGGCCACCATGAAAGAATGTAACAGCGACTAATATGATAGATGTCAAATATATCTATACTGCTAATGATCTCCGAAACTACTGGGTCAAATTGAATAATTCTTTTGAACCAGTAGTTAGATATATCGAGAAAGGCTATAGACTATATAACGTCACGCTACGATGAAAAGGAGCAGAGTAGCGGGTGAAAACGCGCGTGTACAGCTATTTATAAATAAATAAACACACATTCAAACAACACTGTCGTTAAATGGTTGAGGCCAATTCAATTCAATAACTAAGCCAAATGAATAATATCCTTTTAGCACCAAGATGTATAAGACCTAGAAAAACTGGTTAAATCCAGTTTTATTATAGGACCTTTAATTAGAACATTAACTAACATAGAATTGTGGATTCGCTTCTTAAGAATAAGGGAGAGTTTTCTAACTAGAGATACAATTTTGGGACATTTTGTATGGACCTTTAGTAAGCTAGTCTACCGATAGAGGAGTTATTGAGATTCGCCCTTAATCTACAGAAGCTAAGGACAGTTATAAGCTAGCATGGGAGCCTCTGGTCGCAGCTTTTCTGGAAGTCATTGAGGGAGGCCTTGTTCAGCAATGGGCGTGTTGCTGATAAAGAAAATCTAAAGAAAAGATGAAGAAAATCTATTAACAACTGTTAGCAATAAAGATTAGAAATCGCTAGATGGTAAGCAGACACCGTAGCCTACAACACCAGAGGTGTCACGAGTGCGTTGCCAACCGTAGTACCTATATTGCCTTATCATTCTCAGGAGCCGTCCTATCCCAAAATGATATATAGCAAGTGCACTACTAAGAACTATCTTTAAAGTCAGTAATAGATACATTATCTAATCGAGGAATCGGTCCAGAAACAACCAATAAGGAATTTAGGAATATCAACTAACATATCCATTTAAAAATGGGACCAACTAAACACCTCTGCCTACCCCCTATAGGACTAAAAACACCGTAAACTTACCTTCGTATCTGACTGTACAGACCGATCTTATTTCCGTGTTGTTGAAAACAGGTTTGGATGAACAACCTGTCGCTACCTGTTTTCTGTTGGTTATATTTACTTCTATCCCTTACGCTATTCTGGTAGCCTGGTAATTTTTTTTTAGTAAAGAGGAGTAGCTGCATGTTTTATTCCTCGAAGGGGTCGGCAGAAAACCCTCTTTCCACAAATTTTGAGACCAATATCCAATGCAATAGGGATAAATAGTTCTATTCCTTATGCTATTCTGGTAGCCTGGTACTTTTTTCAGTAAATAGTAGTGGCCTTTATTTAATCCTCGATAGGGTAAGCAGACACCCCTCTTTCCCCAAGTTCTGAGTCCAATGAGGACGACTGTGGAGTTACCAATTATTTTTTCTGTGGCTTCAGTCATCTATGTTTATTTCGATCCCTTATGCTATTCTGGTAGCCTGGTACATTATAGTAAAAAGGAATATTAATGTGTTTTTATGCACGAAGGGGTAGACAGACTGCATTAAAATGTAACACCTACTTTTTACTAGTTATGGATCCCCTAAGTAATGTAATAAGGGATGAGCCTATTTAATTATGAGGATTATACGTGTGAATAACAAATGGCGCCAATGACGTGTGAACTATGTTATCTTATCTTGTCCGTCTTATCTATCAAACATTGATTGACGAATGCATTGTTTGCAATTAACAAATTTTCTAATTGATCAAGGGATTGTTTATTTTTATAACAACTATATCATACTAAATTATTAAAAAGTGAATATATTGAGAAGAGGTCTACTAGTTTCGAGCCACAGAAGGGCTCTTCCTCGTGAGCTCGGTAGGCTGTGTGACACCCATACATGGATAAAAAAAAATTTAATGGCGCCCATGAGGTGCTTGCATAGGGCGCATTCCAGGTCCGTGTAAGGCAGTGGGCGTCTTGTAGTTGATATTTGATGATGAATTGAATAACTACTTCATGTCGTTTCTGAAATAACTACGTACCGTCAAGCAACAATCTTATTGAAAAATGAAATCGAATATTGAGATAGTGATCACAATAATTGTTCTGATAAGATAATATGCATTTTATAACAATTTTATTATCAGAAACATCGGAATTCACGTTTGAATAAAGTTTTTAATTTGTCAACAATTGAATAAGTATTTTTTTGTATGTTTTTCCCTGAAATTATTACGAATTTTCTTTTTCAGAGGTAATTTTGAAGTAACTAAATATGGGATACATGATGAAGGATGGAGGAGCTGTAGCCAAATGCCATTTCGCGCTTGTCTAAATGTAGAATAGAAAACCAAATTATATGGAATTTACGTAAATTTTGACATTTGTCAGTGTCATCCCCATACATTTTGATTTCTACTCTCTCTGTAGACAAGCGCTAAAGTGGCGTTTGGCTAAAGGCATAGGTCCGTAATCGAGATAACACGCCTCTATTGAAATTTCAAACCTACTTAACACTTTTAAAGTTGCATTTCTATTCGCATAAAATATAGCGAAGAAGTTGGTCCTTACAAGCATCAAACCTGCAACACATCGTTTAGCATCCTAACCCCAGTTACAACACCAAAATACTTGGCAACTAGTAACATAGCAGGTACTAGAAACCAGGACTGTGCAATTAAAATACCAGGAGTGCATACACGGTAGGCGATCGTACAGAGGATCACACCAGTGCCAAATGATTGAGAATTTTAGTGCTATATTTACACGCGAACTTTCAACACGTTCACAGGTGCATTTTGTTCGACATATTGACTTCCAAACTACAATATGTTGAACAAAAGAGTAGGGTTTTTATTCGGCTATTTAAGTAGGAGCACAACCCTGCTCTTTCCCTGGTCTCAAAAGAAGAACGACAATTTGACAAGCTGTCTTTTTTATGGAATAGGAGGCAAACGAGCAGACAGATCACGTGATGGTAAGCGATCAGCGCCATCAATAGACACTCGCAACACCAGAGGAGTCACAGGTTCGTTGCCGGCCTTTTAAAAAGGAATACGCTCTTTTCTTGAAGGT